CCAGGTGAGAGCGGAATTCCAAACCTTGTGAGACCAGAGCATGGAGAGACTGCTCAAAGAAAAGAGTTAAGAAGGATCAGATGAAACTCCAGTCTATACTCTCGATAGTTTTTGGCCGAAGAGGGAAAAGTTCATCACTAATCTCGCTGAACTTCAATGAAAGACTGCATCTCGATAGGCAGAGAAGAAAAAGAAAAAAGAAAGAAAAGCAACTACAATAACAACAGAAACACAACAAAGGGAACCAAAAAAGCTTAGATTAGTACAGTAAAGAACAAGAAGACCCCAGCTGTCTAGACGCTATACTGCTAGTTGTTAATAAATAACCAACAAATCGCATCAACGCCAATCTCCTAAAGAAGACAGATTTCCTTCAGAGCAGCTTTGAATTGCGCGGAACTTTTGTGAGCCATCATCGAGCTAGGCAGTTTGCTTAAACTCCTGTAAAAAAAAGCTGTATTCACTGATAACGCGCTTACAGCACTCATCTTAGGAAAGAAGTGAAGTAAGCCCCCACGCTCCCTTCAAATGGGCGGAAAACCCAGTATTTCGATGGGTGAAGGCGCAGCTCCCCTTTGAGTATTTTGAAAGCCAAAATCACGTCGGCCTGCACTCTTCTATAAAAGAGGGGTTTCAGGTTAATCTCTTCCAAGCGAGTTTTGTATGCAGGCAGAGAGCGTGGGCAATTCGGGTCGGGGGAAAATTCGATAGGTAAAGGATCCTTGTAAAAGTCTTCTGAACATTTTCAATTTTATGTATATCACTTTCAAAAAAGGGCTCCAAACCGAGCTGCAATACTCAATCAGAGGCAGTACGAACGTCTTGAACAATCTTATCCACACAATTAGATCTGAGCAATGAATACTTCTAAAGAGGCACTGTATATTTCGCATAGCTTTGTTCGCAAATGTCGATTTGAGCTTTCCATTTCAAGACCTTTGCAGAAGAACACACCTAGGTCTCTTCACTAGATCACATGAAGGCAAGAGCCCAATCTCATCACACTTCCACGCAAAGCGAATTCGCTGTAAGTGAGAATAAATGGCTCTTAGAAAAATTAACACTCGAATTTCATTGTCTAGTTCATTCCATCATCCTCTCAACAGATCTGTTCAAGGCTGCTTGAACTGCCTCCTTGTCATGCGCACTGTAGACGGCGTAGACTTTGATGTCATCTGCATATGCAGCCACTGTTATGCTGGGATGAGTTCTGAGGTAGGAGAGGAGGAATAAATGAGAAAAAGGATGGGAGACAAGGTGCCCCTTTGCGGGACTCCTGATGGACATTTCCTTGAAGTGAAATGGAATCTTATACAGTAGCGGTCAAAAGTTTGGAAACTTTTTTATTTTTGATCTAGTGTAGCCAATAGACAATGAAATTGTCCCAAATTCACATATTATATACAGAATCAAGTGTAGATTACGATAAGCAACATAATTTTTTGAAAACGAGATCGCTTTTGAAAAATACGAATTTTTATAAGAAATGGCGCGTCAAAAGTTTGGAAACTTCTCAATTCCAAAGCGAATTCGGCAAAATAGCTCTCGAATCTACATGATAAATTAGTTATTCGATGAGTAGCTGTGAATTTCTATGTCAGCGTCGTTTTTATTGACATGGAGTTGATTATAAAATAATTTTAGGACTTTTAAGTCGAACCCTGCACACTGTGAACTAAATCACATTGTTTGGTGGGATTCCTAACTGGAATGTGGGTTGAGCGACATGCCAGTTCTTCCGTGGGATGTAGAACTCAATTAGACTTTAGATCTTGACTTGGTCGCTTCATAACAGCTTCTTTTTCTGGGTTTAGGAAGGCGGCAGTGAGGAGGTAGGCCTGCATTGGGTCATTTCCACGATAGAAAACCCATCTTTTTCGGCTAGTTCTGACTATCGAAGGGAAGCATTGTATTCTACAGACTATTCTTGTACTTAGCCCAACCCACATTTCGCTGGATACATAGAACTGGGGAATCGCCGAATGGTCGGACACATCTCATCCATGGCAATACTTCCACTATTTCTGAATGTTGGAATCTTATACTCTAAATGAGGTTTCCATTTGACTGAACACTTCACAGGGTCCACAACATCATTTTTAGGAAGATAGAAATCCTGCTCGTCGCTGAGGACAAAGTTTTACCTCTCGCCTTCGGTCCATGTTAGCCGTTAGTGTGCGGAAGCCAGTTGGGCCATCCTGCTATTAAAGCCCAAATGGCTTCTTGTTGGGATATCATCCGTGATATCCGTGCCAACCACCCTTCGAAGTATTTGAGGAGGGCCAATTTTCTTGTGAGAATACTTTTTTGTGAATGATCATTCGTCTTATGCTTACTCGGCTCCAAAAACACTAAAAACATTCGATAATATTGCTTTCGTAGAGACTGAACTACTAAGAAACAATTTCTATTTCGTATTCCGGATTGCAGGGTTTAAAAAAGGACCTCCCATGGAAAACTGCTTCCTTTGCATATGAATTCATTTTGAAATTACACATTACTCAATGGTTGAACTAAAATTAACAGAAACAAGTAAACATTGAAGAGTAGGAATCATAATGATGAGGGAAA